CCATTACAGTGTTATGAAGAGCAGTGTCCACCTATTCATCTCCTTCTTCCTCCCAGAAGCCCTGGCAACCACTGGTCTTTGTACTATCTCCATGGTTTTAATTTTTCCAGAATGTCATATAATTATAGAATCATACAATATGTAATGTTTCCAGATTGACATCTTTCTTTTCTATTTTTTAAAGATTTGTTTATTTATGCATAGAAGAACTGGGGTATAGACCACAGGTGTGGGGGTGAAAGGATTCACCTGAGACTGAGTGGAGAGCAGAACAGGCAGATCTACTGAAATACACTGCTGAGGGGAGAAGCAGGTGGGACAGGAGAGGTCTGCTGAGTCATGTGGGTTAGCTCCCTGGCCAGCTGGGGATCAAATTTGTGCTGCAGTGGCTGGTGATAGCTTGATAGTGCTGTGTCTTTAACCCCTGTGCTACCAGAGAGGCCCAGATTGACATCTTCCTTGCTATTTATTTTATATAAGAATCTAGGGGGCCTCCCCTGGTGGCGCAGCGGTTGAGCGCTGGGTTGCGAGGCTGCCCACAGCCTCTGCAGCACCGGTTCAATCCCCGGCCACCGGCGAGGGTCCCACCAAAAAAAAAAAAAAAAAGAGTCTAAAGGACCAACTGAATATTTTAAAATTCCACTGGCTAATACAAAGATAACTCCCACCAGTGATTTGGTAGATTCTTTATACATATTATTTCTGTAACATAAGTATTATCATCCTTGTTTATTACCAAGGAAATGTCCAAGGTCACAAAACCAGTAAGTGGCAGAACTGGTACTAGAGTCCAATTTGTCTGACTCCAGCATTCACATTTTGTCTTTATGACAATGGCATTTACCCTGATACCTAAAGGGGTCCTAGAGTATTCGAATGCAGCCACAGGAACTGATAAGGAAAAGCACCCAGGCAAAGGCGCATATCCAACCTCATGTAACTGCAGTGCTTAGAAGACAGCATTCTGATAGAACAACAGCACTCTCCCTGCTGTGGTCAGGACCAGCATTCCATCTTTAGACAGGAGAGATTAATCAGCACATTACTAGCAAAGTTAGGTGGATATAGTTCAGTGTCTCTTAACTACATTTGCATTATCTTCCCCCCTCTGCAACCAGGAGCTCCTCAGATATATTTTTCCTAATCATCCTTCACCCCAAATTAAATGTTAATACATTTATACTCAACACTTAAATGTATATATACTGTGGCCCATTGTAAAACCAAAAAACTATTGTAATATCTAAGGGTTTCTTTCTTCCAGGAGTCAGTTGCCACCCCCTTAGGTGCAATATCATCCATTACTAAAATGAGTAGTCCAGCTACAGATGTCCAAAGTTTGGGGAGACTGCCCGGGAGTTGCTACCAGGACGGTGAGATCAGGACCCTGGAGAGCACCAAGGCAGCCCCACTGAGCTGATGCCCAAGGCACAATGTTGCCTCAAGATTTGTCTGAAAAGCAATAAAAAATAAATAAACTCATGCCATTTGCAGCAACGTGGATGGAGCTAGAAGGAATTATGCTCAGTGAAAGAAGTCAGAAGAAAAAAAAATAGTGGATGGTTTTACTTATAGGAGGAATATAGGGGAACCAAATAAGACCTCAGTGTAAAAAAATAGTAGCAGTACAAAACACAACAAAACAAAAACAGACAATTATAAACCAGAGACATCCTGCAGGGGAGGAGGTGAGAGAGGGATCAGAGGGAGGGAGGGAGGAGCATAGGGGACTGTGGTGATGGTGCACGGGTGCATTGGTGAAGGAAATTCTTTGGGGACTACATGGGGCGGGGGAGCAAATATTGTTTAAAAATGAACAATGATGCAAAAAAAATTTTTTTAAATTTTAAAAAAGATTTGTCTGAAAGAAGGAAGAGCCCAGGAGAGGATATGGGCTGGGAAACTATTATTTGTATTATTTTTACTATATGTTGAAAGAATCATTAGAATGTGAAGGCCTTCAAATTCTGTTGCATAGGAAAGTTCTCTAGGGAGCTGGCACTTTGTAGATAGGGACTTCAGTTTCAAGGTCAAGGTCAATTAATGACACACCTTCAGGTAGTTTAACAATTTACCAAGAGCCCAACTTCATAGGGGTTGGAGGTTTTCAGAGGTTTAAAGATAGCAGGTTAATTCTCCCTCACTCTCCATTACTGATTGAGTTTACCATAAAGCAAAATAGTTGTACAGTCTGTTGTGAGCAGAAAATAATAATAGGTATTATTTATGTGTTGGACCCCACATTAAACATATTAGTGGGCCCCTTTATCTTTACAACAATCTTATCAGGTGGTGATCATCATCCAAGAGTAAGAGAGTTCAGCAAACTTGCTCCAGATCACACAGCTGATATCTAGAAGTGCCTGGTTGGAACCTACTAGGGCTTCAGCCCCAGTGCTCAACCAGCATGCCATAATGCCACTAAATTTCTTCAGCTGTCTCAGTATGGTTGTTGTGAGGGCTAAATAAAATATCCCATTAATACGCTTAACACAGACTAGCATCTTCCCCAAAGATATTCTCTGATTCAAGGCTTTATCCTCTTCCCAGAATTAGAACTCAAGATTTGCCATGTCACTCCTATGATGATAATCCTTCCAACAGCTCCTTCTTGGCCCTCAGAATAACATCCCAATTCCTTATCATATCTTATAAATTTTTCCATGATCTACCACTGGTAATGTGGCCAGACTCATCATTTTTTTAAAACCACTTTGCTCCTCAAACTCTCTGCTTAGGGCCTCCTTGGTGACCTGGGGGTAAGTCTCAGTGCTAGCACCACTATGGGCTGAGTTCAATCACTGGCCAGGAAGCAGCAAGTGAGACAGGATAGGTGTGCTGTGCCATTTGTGGATTAGCTCCCTGTCCGGGTATCGAACTCAGGCAGTTGAGCTGATAGTACTGAGACCTAACCCCTAGGCTACCAGGGAGGTCCCCAAATTAAAATTTTAATCTAGAGAACATATGACCAAATGACCAAAGAGAAACATGATCACTAGAGTCACTCAAGCAGTTGAAGTGCTGTCACTGAAGAAAAGAACAAGGAGGTAAATGGTTAACAAGAGAAGAAAAGGAGAAGGTGAGCCTCCAAAAGGCCTCAGAATGTCATCGCTGTGTTCTCCAGTCCAAAATCTGGAAGGGGCTCCGAAATGGAAGGAAATATGGTTGCCCAAGAGAATGAGTTTTCTCCATGAAACAAGTGCCCATGGATATTCTTCAGGATGGGGCTGGCTGCCTATGTGACAGTGCACCCCATGAGGGAATCCTAAAGAAGGGGTTGCTGCATCCTTGAACTAGCACTTTGGAGTGCTTGGACACTAAGGAATTCTGTAATTATTGGACTGAGTCTAGAGTAAAACTTTGGCAGGTGACAGACCACCTCCCAAGATCTTGGGAAGTGGAGACAGGTAGATGGGACAAGTGGGCTTCCAGAACCCAATCTTCCACCCCTCCAATTCCATACAGAGGGGACAGAAAAGGTTTGCTATAACTCAGGGGAACTAGAAATCTCCCAATTTTCTCCAAAAGTGAATCTGAAAATGGAGAAATTTGAGTCATTTACAGAGAAAGGCTCTGTTTATGGGTTTCAGCTGCTATCACAGGATGTGAAAAAGGAGAGGGACATTTCCTTTCTAGCAGATGGTGAAGACAAAACTTAGTATGTCACCAAACGAACTTCTGACAGTCTTTTGCTGAAAGTAATCAAATGGGCCCCACAAAATGTACACTGGGTCATCCACTGTTCCCCCCATGGTCTCCTTTCACTCCATGCTGATAGCCCATGGTAAGCACTCAGAACCCATAGTAAGCACCCCCACCCCCAAAGTGAGTCACAATTGAGTGGCCAGAAGCAAGTGTTTTCTCTTCTGCTTCCCTAGGGGCTTACATAGGTGAGCTCATAGAGGCAACTATAAATATAGGTGGCTCATAAGGATGACATTTTCATCAACACTTAGGTTATCATAACTTTGGATTCCACTTTCAAAAGATCCATGCATCCTAAAAAGAGTAGTGCCTTTTGTGAGGTTTAAGGTCACCTAGCAATGGAGACACCTTAGTTGTATGGTCCAAACTATATTTTTAATGAACAAGCACACACACAACTATGAAATTAGTCAAACTCCACTTGTGCAAGTTTTTAAAGAAGTAATTAACTGGACACAAAGCACCCTTCTCTTTAGTTTTTATAACTGCTGTTTGGTCCACCTTTATTATCCTCTACAGCTCATTAAGTCTATGCTTCTGTGACTCACCATTCTATTTTTTCACTTGCTCCTTTCAACTTAGAGTCCAAAGTTTCCTGGTGCGTCTACAGACAGGGTTTCAGATAAGCCCTCTCAAAGCCCGTGGCATGGCGGTCACTCACTAGGGAGAACCTGACTGCATTTATCACCACCGCACCAGCTGCATTTTTAACTCTTTTATCAGGGATGACAGTTCTAAGGCCTGTTGAATCACTTCTTCCTGTCTCTAACGAGACCTGGATCAGACACAGTATAATAACTGTGAAACCCACCATGCTGGGTTTTTTTTTTCTCCTTCAAACACAAAGGAAGGTCTTCCATCCTTTCCAGAAAGGTAAAAATTTTCCATGTGCTAATAGAAAACAATGGGATATCACTAGCAATGGTTGCTGAGTAGGTGTTGGGAACTTGCACTTAAAAACTGGGTTTCACCTCTGAATCATAAACAGTGTTGTAAATGAATGCCAACTCCATTTAAAAAATGTTTCCCTTGTGACTCTTGACAAAGCAACTTTTTATTAATAGTCTTTCTAACAATCTCCCGTCTATTGAATTTAGATACAAATTCTTTTTAAACAAAATATCTTAAGCTGAAAAGGTAATAAATAGAAATGTGTTGCTGATATGAAGATCCCGGGACACAGCTTACTCACTCACAGTTGACCCCACAGATGTTGCCTGCAGAAGTGTGTACACAAACATTGTACACATTGATGCTTCTGACAGACTGATGTACAAAAGACAGGAATTACTCACAGAGACAGGTGTCCACCAGGAACATGGCATACACCAGAAGCTCCCGCAGGGTGGTCTTGACATAGAGCTCCCGGTTCTCAGCTGTGTTTTCAGTCAGGGTTGTTCCCCAGAGTCCTAAGGGGCAGTGGAGAGATGTCTAGGACCCCCGCCAGCAGTTCCTCCCAGTTGCCCCCACCCATCAGTCTCTGGACTTTACCCCATGTCCACCCCAGCCCCTTTCCTTGCCCATCACCTCATCCCTCTGCTGAATCCCTCACTCTCGAGCCCACACCTGCCTCCTCCAGCCAGCAACCTGAGGCAGCGGGGGAAGCCTGGCCTGTAGAGAATGAAGGTTGGGAAGGACGACCCTGTTGCAGGTGGGGCTGTGAAGAGTCCATCACATCTATGTCCTCCCTCAAACTAGCTCCCCCATACATAATCCCACACGATTGTCTTGTGCCCCCAAGAGATAATCATCCCAGCTCTCCCTCTGGGACATCGCTAGTTTGACCTCTTTGTTCTGGAGGCACACAGCCAAGTAGTTCACAAACCCCAAAGTGACACTGAGATTTTACCTCTTCTTTAGATTACATGCTCTCTCTCTCTCTCTCTCTCTCTCTCTCTCTCTCTCTCTCTCTCTCTCTCTCTCTTACACACATACACACACACACACACACACAAAACTAAACTTTTAGTGACCCCCCTCTCCTGGCTCCAACATCCCAGGAGAACCTTCCTCCCCACCCACCCCTACCCATACCTCTGACACAACGACGGATCTGGAGGCAGCAGCTGGACACAAGGGCCCTAGATGCCTTCTCTTGGGGTTCATCTTCAGGCTTCTTGGGGTGTGGCTGGGGGGGAACCACGCTGGAGATGGCGAAGATCTTCCGTGTCCCACATGGGGAGTGGGGACCAGCGTAGGCAGGATTGTCCCAGGCTCCACTCCCCAACTTTTGCAGCTCCTGCACCTCAGAGCTTTCCACAACATTCATTGGGGATGAGGTGGGGGGCCAGGCACCTCAGGTGCCCACTCACCCAGAGAGAAAGGGAGCAAAGGCACAACCCAGCCAGCCAGCAGAGGACAAAGGAAAGGGAGGCAGGGAGCAGCTGGGCTCCGCAGCCTCCTGCCTTTTATAAGGGAAATCTGTGCCCAGTTAGGGGGAAGGAGCCAATGAGAAGGGGGGATGACCGGCAATCTTATCAGGGCTTCTCCAGCTCTCTCCCTCCTGCTGCAAGTCCCAGGGGACAAGCAGAAAGGGGGTCGGAAGGAACTGGGAGGCAGAGTTTGACGAGGGGAAATACAAGGAAGATGAGGAGACCGGGGGTGTGCGAAAGAGGGGTGAAAGTGGTGAATGCTGAGGGAAAGGTGGGCTGCTTGCAGATGGGTGGAGGGAAGGTCCAGAGTCAGAGAGAAGAGGTGATGAAAGCAAAGGGCCGGGCTGGGAGGAGAGAGGCTGGCAGCTCCGTTGCAGGTCTGGGCTATTTTCCACTAAAAGCTCTTGAAAGGGCTGCCATGGATCGGGGTGGAGGCTGAGGCCAGGGCCGGGAGCCGGAAAGGGCTGCTTCCCTCCGGGGCCCAGCCAATGGTGTCTGAGTCTTGTTTATGTGTCACCTTGAGTTGTCCCCTAGTGGAGTGGAAAAGGGGGGTTCCTCCTCCTCCCACCCTCCCACCACAACTGGAGGTAAAGAAGAGAGAGAAGCCCCCTGTTTCAGGTTAACAGTCTTTGGCTGCTGCTGAGGAGAGGTTTGCAGAGTTCCAGATTCACCCTGTGTCCTGCGGTCTGCCCTCTGGTGGCTACAGATGAGCCGTGCCGGTAGAAAGGAGGACGTGGGCTCAGGCTAGGAAAAAGCGGACCCTCTGATTTGGAGGACAGATTAGAATGCAAAGGGCAAGGATGTGTTGAGGCCCCTTTCAGGGAGTGGAGATCTGGATCCAGCTCAGCCGACAACCTTACCTTGTGGCTCTGCTTAGTGCTAGACCTAGAAATGTGGACACAAACTCAGAATGGAAATATGAGTGGCAGGACAATCTCCTATCAATGTCAGGTCTCTGAATTCAAGTCCCAGCCTGGTTCCTTGAGCACTTCCCTGCCTGTGCCCACTGCCGGCCTCTGCCCACCTACCCTGGCAGTCTGTAGGTTTGTGCTCTGGCCCAGAGTGGAGCTGGCTCACCAGTGCGGAGGGGGAGCTGCCCTCTAACTCCTGGCCTTACTACTCGGGCTACTGCATTGCTGCACTAGCCTGAAACCCACCTTCACATTCAGTAAAACATCAGCCTGGTAGAAGGCACTAGTTCTCAGTGTTTCTGGAAAGAGATCTTGATCCCAGATAGGCCAGAGCAGGGCTCAGGAACATGACAAATAATTTCACCACAATGTATCAGACAGGCCGCCAAATAGGTGGCGACTGTCTGCCCCTAGGTCTGCTGTGTGGACTGCCCGCCCTAGGTCTAGATACTGTCGGAAGTAATGACCCGCCTGGCTGGAGCTCAGGCCTCCCTGTGAGACTCCGAGATGGAGAAGTTTTCCATCTTCCCATCTTCCCAGCCAGTGAAACACATATCAAATTCTTGTTTTCTTTGTGTGCTAAGATCAACCATTTTGTACAAAATGGTCAGTGGTGAAGGAATGGAGGCTGCCACCTCTTACACACAAGTTTTTTTTTTTTAGCAATTGCAAAAGGAAGTCTGGCTTGCAGATTTGGACTTTGGACCAGGATGAGAACAAGACCCTAGGGAAGCAGGAAGAAGGCTGGGAGATGGTTTCTGATTCACCTGGGGTATTATTGTTCTGAAGGAGTCCTGTCATCAGGAGGGGATGCTTGGACTCAAAGGAGGTTCACTGTGGGACTCCTCATGCTCCTCACGCTCAAGGCAGCACCAGACCGCTTTATTCAAGGTCACCTTGCTGGAAAACACTGCTTTTCTTGAGCACTCACCATGTGCATGGATCAGCCCAGAAAGCATCCCCCCCCACCGAGCCCCAGGTTGTGCAACACAGCTTGAGAAATGTTCTCAAAAGGCGCTCTACATTCCTTGGATGTTTACTTACTGTCAAGAAGTTGCCAAATGTAGTAATCAAGTGGGACATCTCCTGATGATTTTGTGTCCAGTAGCTTTCTGTGTCTTCAGTCTTCTATTGCACTCGACTGTTCCTGGTGACAGTACCTGTTAAGAAAGACAACCAATTTGGGGAGAGTCCTGTGGCCCAGAATTGCCTCTTATCAGTTCAGTAAAATTCTAGAAGCTTGAACTTGAAACCTAGGTTTAACTGTGGCTTCAGAACTGTGTGGTTTTAAGCAAGTTTGTCTTGAGACCTAACTTGCCTTCCTGCAAAATGTTGGTATTAATACCTGCCTTGTTGACCATAAGGATCATTTTAGGATTAAAAAAGTAGAAGATAGAAGTCTTTATCATCTGTGCACTACAAAGAAAACACACAAAAAATCAATTTTCTTACCATATCATGCATGCATCCTTGTGCATCCCACTTACACACAGCCATTCATGGTTCAAAGAGATACTTTCAGTCAGGACCCTGTTGTCACTCCCTCTGAGAGACAGGGGTCCCAGAAATCTCTGTTCTATTCCATTTCAGGTGACACCAGGAGAGTGCAATGATGGCATTTCATCCAGAGAGTATTATGAAAGTAGTCTTTGAATAAAAGCACCCCTTAGAAGTTTTATAACCATATGCAAGCCTTCCAGCTCATAAAACCTAAAGCACAGCTTCATCATGCTGCCTCTTAGCCCACTGGTGAATTGGTCCCCCAGGATAAAGTTTTGGGTCACAAACTATCCTAGCACAGAAGCCAAGAAGAGGGTTACCTCATTCTTGCCACCAGTGCACTCCCTTTTCATACCACGTTCACCCCAGCTGGCTTCTTCCCTGCTACCCAGATCTGCTTGGCCCTCACAAAGAGTTCAAAATGTCAAAATCTGTAAGATATAAACTCGAGACCCATCTCCTTATTCTCTTTATATGTTCTGCATAAAATTCCCCTAGGAATCCCTTTTCCTAATAAACTTTTCCTTTTAAAATGTGAAAAAAAAAAAGTTCCCCTGGATAAGTCACCTTCTAAAGAAAGGAACCCTGGGGTGATTCACAGTGCAGGTTCTTTGGGGAGGAGCAAACCACCTTCTGTATTGTACAAAGTGACTCTCTGCCTTTTCCATGCCAAACAAATAAACAATAGAACACACTCCAGAAGTAACAGTGGTTTACTGTCGCAATGATTCCCAACGGAAGATATTAGAAATCACTTATCTAGAGTTAAAGAGCCCTGTGCATAAAGAGCTTAAGCTTCAATAATACACCACTAGAGTCAACTGCAGGGCAAAAAAATTTAAGCCACCCCAAGTTTTTAGCAACAAAGACGGTGAATCAAGCAAGCAGATCCGAGCAGGCTCAGCCCCAGGAGTCCCCTGTGCATCTTCATGTTATGCACACCATAGTACAGGGATCTCCACAAGCCCCAGCTGCTCAACACATCAGAATGGACCACCCAGGTCATTGGAAGGTTCAAGGTCACAAAGTCCTGTTGCAGCTGTCCCAATCCAGGAAACCAGGAAAACAGCATTTTGTCCTAATTCATCTGGGACCTCTCAGAAAGGCTCGAGGTCACTCACCTCCTCATCAAAACAACCTAACTTACCCTTTTACTTCCTTCTTATCACCTCCTCAGTTTTATAGGTCCTGCTAGTATTTACTTTGTGACTTCCATCTCTCCAAAGAAAACCCTTTTGAGGGAATTCTAGACCTCCCCATGTCTAGAGGACCTTCCTGGACATCTATGTCCATTTGTCCATGACTTCTACAGAAGATTTTACAGCTGGAGGCAATGAATCAAGTCCAGGTGGTAGAAGACAGATGATGCCATCAACAAAAAATAAAGGAAATTAGTCTTCAGCTACCTAAGCCCTTGGAAACTTGGTTCTGGGGTCAAGATCATGCTCCTTGCTGAGTGTAATCCGGACATGGAGTACTCAGGTGGTCCTGAAATGATCCCTTTAGGCAGAGCTCCAGTTTCGACAGGCAGGTTCTGCAGGTGATGTGGAGTGATAGCTGGGCTACCTACTGGCGGGGTAGAGTGGGAAAGGTAAGTGCTCCCTGTGAATGTAAGACACCAGGCTAGAAAGAAAGAGGAGGAGAAGAAAATCATGAGAGAGAAGCGCTTGGGGAAGAAGACCCAAGAAAACGCAATTCTTTCCCTCAGAGCTACTCAGCAAACTGCACATTAGGCACAGTGCTCTGAACACCCCAAGGCTGACAAGGGGGGAGATTGGGCACCAGGGCAGAGTTCCTGCTGCTTCCTGTTCTAACTTTGTTTCAGGGTCTTGGGCAATGACCCAAGACACCCTCTAGTCCCACAGACTCTGAGGGGCCCATTACAGGAGGCACATATTTTTTCATCCTGAGTCTTCATTCCTGTCTTTCAGTCATTCCGTAGATATTTACTTGAGTGCCAGCTATATGGTAGGGACTATGCTTAGCTCTAGGGACAAAGCAGCAAACCCGATCACTTAAGGCTACTGCCATGTGAACTTACATTCTGGCGAACAAGATAGTCATTAAACAAATGCACAGAGAATTTATGATTTATAGACATAAAAGGGGCTGAGACTATTCAGCAGGAGATCCGGCTTTGTGACATTCAAGGGCAAAGGAATGGTACTTTTCTCCTCTTTTTATTCCTGCAGCAAACAAGGTTTTCTGAGATGCAAAATGTTTAGTTGCTAATAGGCACAAGGAAATACATAGAGACTCTCCACCAAACAAGGAGAAAGTTACAGCAATGCAAGAAATGTTGAGACTTACAGTCATCTTTATCCCACATGGTCACAGGAATGTGAGTTGAACTAAGCTTGAACTCTTGTACTTTTTCACTCCTGTAACTGGTTATCTCCTCAAAATCTGAAAAAGAGACAGATATTAATAAAAAAAAAAAAGCTAGGCAAAAGGGCAAACTGATTTCAAATTTCTCAAGGTGATGTTTCCATGGGTGCATACTTATCTCCAAAATCTTCATGTTGCCTACGTTCAAAAGGTATGGTTTTTTTGGATGTCAATTAGACCTCAACAAAGTCAGTCATATTTCAATTTCATCTTAAT